TCAGAGTAATGATCAAACATTATCTGAAATACAATGTTTTAAGGATGCTTAAGAGTATAGATCTATTGCTAAATAGGATTTCATTGCTGCTTTGTCGTCGACTGTGTAAATGTTAATCAGAAACTCAGCTTATGAGAACGCTCAAATTACTTGAAAAGACAAACATAGAGTGTTGCAAGTACATGACGAACTAAACCATTGTTAAACGATAGTTGCTTGCTACTACTTACTTCATCTGAAGGATGAATGATGATTCTAAAGACTTTTAAGAAACAGAGACATTCAGAAGAGGTCGTCATCATAGTCTTCTTTGAGTGTGAATTCAGCTAAATCGAAGCGCCAAGCAAGAGGAGTGGAAGGCATCATCCTCATCATAGAGCCATGGTGGTTTGGAGAGCGCCATGGAGTTGAGCTCTTCAAGCAACCAGTCAACTTGGGAGATTGTATCTCTTCTGGTTCGTCACAAGTCAGATTGTTCTTACCATCCATCTGAAAACCAAAACACACACATAAAGTAGAGTGTCACCAAAAGAACCAAAAGATCCAGTCAAGTACCATTGCTAGATTCTTTCCCTTGACACTAGAACAATCTGCAAAAACCAAAAAAAAAAAACAAAAAGCTTTAAGAACAAGTTCACAAGCGATAAGATAAGGTTTATTACCACACCATCAAGAGCTTTACCATGATGAAGTAGAATATCATCAGAGAAGTGATCATCACAGAGATTTTGCTGCTCTTTCATACATTTGCTGCTCTTTCATACATTTGCTGTGATCATGTAAAAACATCTCCCCAGCTATGTCAATTTCACGTTTTACAGAACCAGAACCAATCTGCTTGGTCTTGGCAGAACCGAGTCGCTTTGTTTCTGAAAATCGTGTAACGGTAACGATTATTTATAAACAAGAGGACCAATAAGACACTGTTGGATAATATTTGAATAACGGCCCAGTAAAGAATCGGCCCAAGCCCATTAATTAGGTTTAGGTTCCGTCAGACTGGTTTAAGATTATTTCTGTTGATAGAGTCAACGTGTCACATCCTATAAACTCATTGTCTAGGCGATCTTCTTATCTGCTTAGCTAGATTTATCAACGTTTGTTTAATAATATCATTATCCTTGATTTAAAAAAATCTCTGCTTAATTTTGGAAATGTTAAAATTAAAGTCAATATCTATATAATTAGTCTTAGCCAAAGATGACACTCAACGCTAGGGCTGGGCATTTTATCCGTTATATTTGATTCGATCCGTTATTCGTTTCGATTCGATCCGAAAATTTCGGATATCCATAAACTTTCGAATCAAAACAAATACTAAAATTCAATATCCGTTAAAATCGAAGCAAATCACAAATATTAAAATTTTGGAAAGCGGATATCCGATCCGATCCGTAAATATATAAATATATGTATATTTTGATTATATTTAAAATTTTAATTGTATAAAATATATAATTATTAATTTAGCACATGATTTTGAACAATTCTATTCAAATTATTACTTATATAAAAGTATTACATAAAAAGAGATAAAATATTTTTTGACAATTATATTTTTTTCTTAAATTTTGTGTTATTATAATTGTAACTTAAACTTTAAAAAATTACAAAATCTATTAATTCACTAGTTCTTTTAAGTTTTATTTTATATATCATGCAAAAAAATATTTTTTCAAAGCAAATTTGTATCAAAATCTTAAGATTATTTGTACTAATTAAAATGGATGAGATATCCGTAAATATTCGTAAATATCCGCAAATATCTATATATTTTCCGGATATCCGTTTTTCCGGATATCCGTATTTTTTCGAAGCAAAGCAAATACCAAAATTAGATATCCGTAACATTCGAAGCAAATCACAAATACCTTATAAAACCCGGATATCCGATCCGTGCCCACCTCTACTCAACGCCTCTCTTTCCCATCTTTATATAAATTATTAAACCACCACTATCCTCCTCATCATCCAATACAGAACAAGAACAAAAACTTAGGAGACCATTAATTAACAAAAACCCTTTTTGTAAATTTGATTTGGAGATATGGGATTCTTGCACAAGCTATGGGATGAAACGGTGGCCGGTCCTGCGCCTGAAAATGGTCTTGGGAAGTTGAAAAATCACATTTCCGGCATAAAGAATAGTAATCAGAAGTTGATGGTGAATCCTGGTCGTGTCCCGGATTCTCCTGTCGGATCAAGCATCCCGGGTTCTCCTTTGACTCGTAAGTTAGCTTTGTATTGTTTCTTGTTTACCTTCTACGTCTGTATAAAGAACAATTTATAAAGCTTGAGAAAAATATTGATTTGTAAAATTTGAGTATTATCATGATCATTTTTGTATGCAGCTGGAACACCAAGTGAAACACATGCTACGTCTCTCAATGCTTGCGATTGGTTTGATCTCCATCTCTTTACATTTCTCATATATATGATCCTCTCTCTTGTTTGTTACTACTAGCTTAAATAATTTTTGAAGTATTACTTACTATTGTGTATAACTTACATGTATTATTGCAGGATTGTGCTAAACGCATTGGACCGTTGAAAGAGATGATTATACGAGTATTCGATGTCCAACAACTACTTCTATATATGCAGTAACCATATTGTTAAAAATGTATGCATGTACATAGTAGTCTCATGTTGCTTTTTTAGAATTTTATGTTTGTGTTTCGAGTAATCTTTTGTTTTTTTTTTCTTTCTTATTTACGATCACCAAGATGGATTGTTCTTTGGAAATATGGTTTCTCTAATATATATGAAGTGTCTAATTTGATTAAGCAGAAGAAGAGCATCAAAGAATCATATTGCATTGATTACAAAGAAGAAGCTTTAGTTCCCTTACCATTTTGTAACATATAGAGTTTAGAAAATTCTCAGTGTTAGTGGGCTGGCAACTTTACCGGTGACGGAATCTTACTCTGCCTTACCAATCACATCCTTACACGTGTGTCCCCTTACTCACCGACGCAGTCTTTTTTTTTCCGTTAATCCCCCGAACAAGATCATTACACCCTAAACCCTAAACCCTACCTTCCTTTCCAAGATTACACCCCCATGGCCAACGACGACGACGAAGACCAGATCCTATCCAGCTCCGATTCACCGGATAAATCTTCTTCTCCACCGCCTGAAAAAGCCACGGTAACGGTGGCTTCCACACCTCCGCCTTCTTCGTCGCAGCAGAAAGATCTTGCCCTGCTTCCGATCCAATCCAGCGGCGGCGGCGGCGGCGATGGGAGACCACGCGGCGGAGGTTGGAGGGAGGATTGCTGGAGCGAGAGAGCTACAGGCGTTCTGATAGACGCGTGGGGAGAGAAGTACTTGAAGCTAAGCAGAGGGAACCTGAAACAGAACCACTGGGAAGAAGTGGCGGAGACGGTGAGGAGGAGTGAGGAAGATTCCGGCAAGACTCCGAAGACTCATGTACAGTGCAGGAACAGGATCGATACCGTCAAGAAAAGGTATAAACAAGAAAAGGCAAGAAGTGGTGGTGGTGGTCGGAGGAGCAGTTGGGTGTTTTACAATAAACTCGACCGTTTGATTGGTTTTTCAACGGCCAAGATCTCATCTTTACCTCGTATGGGCGGCAAAAGTTTGAATCTTTACCATCAGCAAGATAAGGGTATGATGTCTAGGGCTAAATCTGTCAATGTACATATGGTGAAGAGGAAGAGGAATGTGTCTGATTCGGATTCGGAGTTTGAGGACTCTGAGGATAGTTTACCACCTAAAAAGAAGAGGAAGCGTGGAGGAGGTGGAAACAAGTGGAGGGAGTTGAGTAGTGTGATCATGAGGTTTAGTGAGGCTTACGAGGAGATAGAGAAGGAGAAACTGAAGCTGGTTGTTGAGATGGAGAAAGAGAGGTTGAGGTTTTTGAAGGAGATGGAGTTGCAGAGGATGCAGTTCTTTGAGAAGATGAAGTTGGAGTTGTCACAGCTTAAGCAAGCAAGGGAGGAGAATGCGGGGAACAATAGTGATAACGATGTTGTTGGTGATTAGAGTTTAGTGATTCATGTATTTTTTTTTCAGATTTTTGAGATTGTTGAAAAGAACTAACATTTTTAGGTTTTGTGAGTGTATAAATATTTTACCATATCTTGTTAACTTTGGTCACAAGAAACATTTTTTAAACTTACATTGGAGAGTCCTGAGATCTTTCCTGCATAACTTTTTCAGACTTCTCTGACATATTGAGTGAATGAGTGATGAATCTTTCTATAGATACTGTCTTGTACATGTTTTTAAACTTGTCTGAAACGTTGGATTGTGTGTTAACATGGCAAAGACACACGTCAAACAATCTAACAGTGGTTTAATGTGATGCATGGTTATTATGACACTGAAGATTTGCATGTGTATCTAAAGATATATTAATTCTTTTTTTTTAATATATAAGGGATAATAATAATAGTTTTTGATCGATTGTTCTTGTATCTTAACCGTTCATCGACCCACATATGATTTGGTAAATAAAGTTAGGTATTCGACAAACCAACTTTTTAATTGTGTTTTTAAAATTATTATGATGTTTTGCTTTTTTGGCGCTTTTAGATATACTAGACAACTTGGTAATCACCTTAGCCGTTTGTCAATAAAATTTTAAAACAATGGTCTTAACTAAATCAAGTAACAAAAGATAGTGATTATTACCACAAACATTGGACCGCGAATTAAACTCTTTTCATCATGATCATCCCCTATCCATGATAGTGGTTTTTGAGCCTACATTTGTATATTGTATCAAACCTAAAACATATCTTTATCGGTTAAGGATCCATGTGATTTTGGTAGTACAAACCAAACAAAGGTCGGCAAATCTTCAAAGTTATATAATAATAGTATCTTTTTATTTGGAAAAAAAAAGCTTTTCAATCGTTTTCGTTTTTACAATTTTATCCTTTATCTAACCAAACCCCATCAGTGACACCGACAGCCCACGGACAGTAGTTTATTTCACGGCAGTGTTTTTTTCTGTTTCAGTACTTAAAAAGAGACGTGTTAAAGAAATAGCTTTCACCTTCTTACCTTCTTGGTTTCCAAGTTCAGTTTCTGCATTTGTGATTTGTTTTGCTGGATCATCCTTCACACATGTGAGTACATCTAGACTCAACTCTACTTATAACACCCTTTAAGGATCACAGTCAATATAAATATCTGTTTCTTGTAATTTAAAGACAATTCATTCAAGATAGACGAATCAAGTTTGGTAATGAATAATTGGTTTAAACATGGTCCTTGTCTCTTAAAGAATATGATATTTCTGTATAGTATTGTATCATTTTGTGTTATTTGACTCTCAGTGTTCTTTCTTGTGATATGATATTCTCAACAGATGGATCAAATCGTTAACGTTAATGAGTTTCAAGAGCTGGCCAAACGGTCTCTCCCTAAGATGTACTATGATTTCTACAGCGGAGGAGCAGAGGATCAACACACTCTCAAGGAAAACGTGGAAGCTTTCACTAGAATCATGTAACTACAACTCCTTGTGAGTCCCTTACTTTTATTTTGTGTACTATGTGTTGTGCTTTGATGTTCAGGTTTCGGCCTCGGGTTCTAGTTGACGTGAGCAAGATAGATATGTCTACTAGAATCTTGGGTTACCCTATCTCAGCTCCAATCATGATTGCTCCAACAGCAATGCATATGTTGGCTCACCCACAAGGTCTCTCTTTACTCTATGTTCCATAAACATTTTATTAACGGTATATGTAAGTGTTTCGATTATATTTGTTTTTTTATATTAGGAGAAATCGCCACTGCGAAAGCTGCAGCTGCGTGTAACACTATCATGGTACCAAAGTGTTCACTGAAATTACATGTTTTTGCATTCTGTTTTTGGTTTCAAGGTGATGACTATAGTTCTTTTTTTTGTGAGTTTCAGATAGTATCATACATGGCTTCATGCACTATTGAGGAAGTTGCTTCAAGTTGTAACGCTATTCGGTTTCTTCAAATATATGTAATAACTACACAATCTTGATTTTCATATGGTTACTTATAGTTAAGCCTCTCGGTTCTTAGTTCGTTCTGATAAATAGGTGTACAAGAGACGCGATGTAACTGCTCAGATGGTGAAAAGAGCTGAGAAAGCTGGATTCAAGGCCATTGTTATGACTGTTGATGTTCCTAAACTTGGTAGAAGGGAAGCAGATATAAAGAACAAGTAACACTCTCCATTACTACTTTGCCTATCTGACTATTAAAATTCTATTACATTTATTGTTCTTTTTTAAATATTTAATTATGGGTAGAAGAGATAAATTAATGAAAAAAATATTTTGTAATGAAAATTTTATTGTACAACGACAACAAAGATAGTAGTGTTGAATGATATTTCTATACTTTTGTTGTGTAGAATGGTATCTCCACAGCTGAGGAACTTCGAAGGTTTGATTTCAACGAAAGTCCTACCTGTGAGTAGAGCTTTGAAGTTAAGGTTCATGTTCATGTTAAGTAAAACCATAACATGTTGTTGACGTGATAACCTTTTTACACAGAGTAAAGGTTCAGGGGTTGAAGCCTTAGCCGCTAGTACATTTGATGCTTCGTTAACTTGGAAGGTAATAACCTTTGTGAGTTGATTCTGTTTCGTGTACATTCCTTATAATGTTTGAGCTGGAATGTTTTAGGATATTGAATGGTTAAGATCTATTACAAAGTTGCCAATACTGGTTAAAGGGGTACTCACTCGTGAAGATGGTAAGGTTCTTGTGTCATATTCTGATATATATATAGCCTGTATCATACTATATACTGTATTTTTGATGATATTTTTCAGCTCTTAAGGCTGTTGAAGCTGGTGTAGATGGAATAGTTGTATCAAACCATGGGGCTCGCCAGCTTGACTATTCACCAGCTACTATAACTGTTTTAGAAGAGGTAGTAAAAACCAATCAAAGCTTTTGCGTAAAGAACAGACTTAATTCTTCTTTATGAACACAATGATGAAACTGCAGATTGTTCATGTTGTTGGAGGGAGGATTCCGGTTTTGCTTGATGGAGGTGTGAGACGAGGAACAGATGTTTTCAAAGCGTTGGCACTAGGAGCACAAGCTGTTCTTGTAAGCTTTTAAATGTTTGAGGATTTTTGGACTTTTGACAGATCTTTCAGGTTCCTTTCTGTTGATGTAGTGACAGCTATATGGTTTGATTATGCAGATAGGGAGGCCTGTAGTCTATGGACTTGCGGCAAAGGGTGAAGATGGAGTGAGAAAAGTGATTGAAATGTTGAAGAATGAGTTGGAGTTAACTATGGCTCTTTCTGGTTGTCCCACGATTGGTGACATCACCAGAAACCATGTTAGGACTGAGAATGAAAGACTCAAGTCTATGCTCTGATTCTGAAGACCAGCAGACCTAGTCTATGACTGTGTGTCATGTTTTTGTTGTTACTTATTTTGCTGTTTATATGAACGCCTATGAGAGCAGGATATGATTAACTCTTTAAAATAATAATTGATATCTCAGCTTTCAACAAAACTATCACATCAGCTCTTAAGTGAAATCCCTGGTCTGAAAAGAAAATGTACCTACGACCAAAATAATTAAGCTGTCTGTGGGCATTCACAGAGGAAGCTGTCTCAAGGTAATAAGATCATACAATATTAAGATGAAGAAAGTTCCTCCTGGAGCTCTAATTGGGACAGACGATACTCTCTCTCAAACAACAAAAACTCCTGCATTGCATCCAAGTCCATCAGATGATTGTCAGTTACTAAGAACAACCAATTTGCAAAAGGAAAAGTAAAGGATGGGGAAGCCTTTGATTACTAACCTGTAACTGTTGCTGGCTGAACAAAGAGAGAAAACCAGCTTCATCAGAAGCCACGAGCTCAATCAACTCATCGTGATCTTCAGGTGGATTTCCCGATTCAATTAGACAAACAGACACCTGCAAGTGTGTCGTTTAGTGACGGCAAGTTCATTAAACAAGTAGGTTTATGTTCACCGTCCAATAGTGTTCTCACTTATGTGTGCAAATAAAACGTGAAATCTGTAAGAGTCTAGTTGAAAATAAGAAGCTTTACCTGCATAGATCGAAGAACTAGCTCTGGAAGACAGCATCTCCTACAGAGACCGCGGACAATATAAGTTGCAGGTGTTTCAAGCGAGCCCTCTTTACTTGAATACCAAGCGTCTAGGCGTGATATATCCATTGTAACACCTGCCTGGAACCTGGTAAGCTCACCTGCAATCAAATTTACAGTATTGCTTATATCATATTGATGCTGGTGGTTTCATCTCCAATGAAACATCTCCAAGTTTATATCGAGTAAACCTCAGTGAAGGAGAGATATGTTTAATAAACATCCCTACCTTTAAAAGCAGCTGCCGCAACTGAACTTAAAATACCCCCATCATTCGCATTATGTGGCCCAAGTCCATCACCCTCAGTTGCTAAACACCGGAGCACAACCTCGATGCAGTAGCTGTCCCTTGATGAAATCGATACATTTACCTGCAGCAGATTGGTTTCGAGATTGTGTCACATCTTTCGAAGTCATACAATTTTAGACAAAAGAAAAAGCTGACGTTCACGGAATATGCACACTTTTAGCCTGGGTGAGGCAAAACAAGAATAACGAGGAAAAAGAATAGATTCAACAAGACATTGGGTGAAAAGAAAGGGGGTACCATTAACTGACGGTCTAAAACAACTTCCTCAGTGACAGAAGCGTAAAGCGCACTCATTAATGCCGCGCAAACAGTGGCATCTGGGCGCAAACACTCTCCAGACGGCAAACAGAGCATCGCCGTTGCATGCAGCTCAAGGAACATATGTTCTTCTGATTCGAATACATTGTCTTCGAGAAATGTCAACCATGGATTTTCTTTTCCTATATAATGAGGTTCAAAACTATCACGTTTAGCATCATTTTCAACCAATGATATATATAAAGTCTGGCGTCACTTACTGAGGAGCAGTGACAAAGAAGAGTCCAAAGTCTCTTTCGCTGCTATTACAGCTTTTTGATTTTCCTCTTCTGACAGTTCAG